TTTTTTTTTTTTTTTTTTTTTTTTCAGTTTCTCTCTTCGGTGAAAATGCAACACAACCCCTCGTGCATGTTCGCTTTCTTACGTATATACATGTATATATAGAATATGTATATATAGAATATATATATAATTTTAACGATTTTTTTTATCTCTACTAATTTACAATTGGCGAGCCGAGCGACTCGGAAAAAATCATATGCATCGATGCAACGAGACGGTTTTCATTGGCATTTATGAAACGAGCATTAAACATAATAATTTATTAATTATTTATAATAGAAAGAAAGAAAGATAAAGAATTAATTTTCTTTATTTTTCACTTGTTTCTTCTATCGCAAGAAATAAAATTTATTCTTTTTCAACGTTTCGTGATTACGTATATCATAAAATAACGGCATCATCGTAGATCGTTCAACGAAATATTTTATTACTTAATTTTCACGATGTACCTCGAACGAGTTCCTCCATTCGAGATAAATAATTTCGTACCTCTGTCAAATATATATATTCGGGAAAAAATGAATTTTTCTTTATTTCAATCTCGATAATTGTGTTTTCCATTGAATTTTTTTTGGTCAATGTGTGTTCGTTCGAAGAAAAAATAGTGAAACCGCCCGTGCTTCACGCAGTTTCGATCGCAGAAAAGCGAGATAACGAGATCGCAATAGTCGTAGCACAATTTTTTTTTTTTTTAAATATTTTTTAGCGTTTCTTATACAATTCTTGCTGGTGCCACATCTTGGTTTCGTCCAAGCACCAGCCCGATATTTTTTCACTTTTTTCCATTTGGTTCTCACAGAGTAGTCTACCTAAGATTAGAGGTATGTTTAGCCTCGACCCACTCGAGAATGCCCTGCCAATTGAATTTTGTCGCAGAAAATTCCGTTCAAGCAAACGAAATGATCGATATTTTCACGTGAAACCAAATATTTTTGAATTTGTGTGCATGTGCATGTGTGTGTGTGTTTTTTTTGTGATTTTTAAATACACGTGTAAATGGATAAACTTTTAAAGATAAACATTGACAAATGTAATTTCACTTTTTTTTCTTTCCTATCGGATTCTGCTACGCGGATTTGTGTGAATAATTATAGAAATATTGGTATAATTATTTTTCCATTTGTTTCTTAAATATCTCGAACGATATTTTTAAAGTTTGAATCAATTTTGTTTCGTTCAATTTGATATGTGTTTAAGTCGATAAGATTTAAGTAAGAAGATAATAAATGCGAAAGGAAGAAATGTGAATTTGTAAAATTTGATAGATAAAATCTTTGTTCGTAACGTGATATTTCGTAAAACAATTATTGATATGTAAGTAAATCGTAATCGTGGTACAATCGAGCATTCAAAAATATTAATTCTTGATCTTTATCTTGTGTTCAATCAATTGTATTTATTCTCGACAATTTGTCCGTGAATTTTAAGTAAAAAATTCTATCGTTGAATCAATAATTTTAATCGAAAATATTTAAAAAGTGCCATAAAAAAAATCATTATTTGGGATACCAAATCTTTCTTCTTTCCCTTACCCGTAAAACGATCGAAATTCGGGACTGATTCGAGTTATCGAAAAAAATCTTGCACTTCATCCTTTCCGTATTTTTTTCTTCCAATAAGAAAAACAAGTTCAAAAATTCGATCAAATTAATATATCCCATTTATATTTTCAAATTCGAAATTATACGTATATCTGAGCTTACAGTAATAATCACGGACAAGGAATATTTCGCTGCTGGACCAGAATTCTCGCGAAATCTCTACACCTACATCTTTTCAAGCATCCAACACGTACCACCCCTATGTTCAGGTACTACTTCATATACCCTCACCTACGTTCAGGTACATTCCTGAATATTACGTATTCTAGAGTTGAACGATCTTAACTGGTTTTCGATCTTATCAATTTTTTTATTACTGAAAGCTGTACCTTTCGTACCTAGGTAATAAAAACATATCATTTTTAGAATAAATTCTAGGCCTTCGCGCGTGGCTCAAGCAAAAACTTCAACTTTAACAACTCTGCATGCCTCCTTTGTACCCATTGTGTATCTACAATTTCTTTTTTATTCGTTCAAAAAAAGCACCGTGTCCGTGACAGAGCATTTTTTTTTTTTCCCCCTTTGCACGTGGACATTCGCGTTTTATATTTTTAATCGCTCGCTTCTAATTAACCGTTCACCTCTATTTTCATTTATTTCTTACTCGAGACATTTTCTTTCTTTCTTTTTTTTTTTTCTTCTTTTTTTTTTAGCTTTATTACGGAACTGTGCTGCTACGTAATTCGTGTAATGAAAATTCCTCGTCCCTTCGCACTAGGCTTGTACCGTTCGATTCGAGTCACGTGAGTTATTATATTAGTTCATCGATAATTATGTCCTTAACTACACTTGAAAAATGTCACCGGTGGCACGGGGCGCGATGTTCGTTTCGAAGATGGACGTTGTCGAGGTTGTGACGGGAGCCATTTCGCCGAATCTGCTCGCGTTTATGTTGGTTGTCGTTACGGCCGTTGTTTTCATCGACGTTTCTTCGGTCATGTCCGATGTCGTCGGCACCTGCTGATGTGTCCAAAGATTTCAATTTAGAATTCATAATTAATTCGTTGAGTTAAAGCTTGTGCATATAGATCGATAGATGTTAACTTTTCTAAATCTTAAAAATTCCATCCATCCATCCATCAATTACGCGTAATTGAAATTCTTCAAGTCTGCAAAAGGACGCAAAGAATGATGTCGAATCGAAATCGAAAAAGCAAAACCATCTTTTTCATAGTTGTAACGGAGTTTGAAATTTTTTTTAATTCCAATCTAAATCGGTCTTCGTAACGAATTTAACGAATTATTTCGAGTTGAAAGAAAGAAGAATAAAAAGAAAGAAGAGAAGAAATCGTGTACAATGTTACCTCGTTATAAAACACTTCCTTTCCTTCCTCCACGGAAGGCAACAGCTCGTCCATGGAATGAGGCGTTCTAGGGCTAGGCGTAGGCGCGATCTGTTGCTGCTGCTCTCGCTGCTGTTGCTCCCGTTGTTTCGCCAGTCTCAACTCCTGCAAAGCTTGCCTCTGCTCCTTCTCGTTCCTCTCTTTCTCGAGCCGTCTCGCGCTGTAACTTCGTGCCGAGGACGTCGAACTGTGAACCGACGTTAAACTAGGGCGACGTGAACCTATCGGGGCGAAAACAAGGGTAACAATTTAATTCGTGGAACGAATTCGAGGGCGCGCTACCCTCGCCCCAATTCCCAATTCCGCTACGCTAAGAGTCAATTAGCTAGGCTTGGAGATCAATCAGAAATATTAAATCTAATTGCAACTGCTCTCGGCTAAATACCAGCTTTACTCTCGGTCATTTGCGAAAACGTTTCCTCTATCGATAACCGGAGCAACGAGCGTACGCAGTTACCGATGCTGGCCGTTCAAATCCAACCAGATCCCTCGTTCACTAGCTAATTCTTCGTGGATGGAGATACGCAAGCTCGATGATCGCATCGGGAGGATCACGGGAGAATATAATAAAGGCGTTTGACATGATCATTTTCGAGAAAGCCGATGAGAGGTAGATTTCAATTCAAGGAGAAATTTTACGTAAAGTTAAATAGAATTTATAAATTGGGATTAAAAAAAGAAATATATATATATATAGAAAAAGATTGTTGTTGAATAGAGAGGTTCGAAGAGGATCGAAAGGGTGCAAAGTGTATAATAAACGTGTTCGAATAATCGATTATATATATATATATATAGTATAACGTGGACGTTTGAAGTTGGGTGTTCGCGAGTGACTGTGCAGATTATTGTGTACAGATTATCAGCGAGCATCGTGTTGTGTAATACAGGAAGAATGACAGAAGCGGTTCTCTTCAGCGCGAAGCAAGCAATACACGAAAGCGAACGCTCATCGAACGATCTCGCTCCCTCCCCGCATTTTCTTTTCGAATCGTTTAACGCGCGGCGAGAAACGATCCTTCTCCGCTCGCGCGATGCTTTCATCGATGATGGATATAATCTCGAGCGGATCTTGATTCTCGTTTCGAACATATAGAATGGATTCGAAACGAATTCTTAACAGCGTTAAGAACGCAAGAAATTATTACACGGACGAGGACCATCCATCGTGTGGATGGTTTGAGGATTGTTTAAGTGTTTCTAATTCAGGGAGCTCGTTCAAGAGTTCTTTATTGATTGACGACACGTAGAAAAAGCGACGTGGAAAATGCCAAGCAAAAGACAGAGAAAGAGTGACAATATACATATGTATACGCGTGCATCCTGTTGCATGTAGAGATTGAAGCGAAGAGAATGTGTGTACGTTTTGTCCTTCGATTTCTAGCAAGCGCATTCAGCAAGTTAAATCCGTGCATATTTCCTTCTGTTTTTTCTTTTTTTGTAATACGATTTTTACTTCGCGAATTCTTTTTTTTTTTTTCCATTCAATCTTCGCTCAACGAATGTCGGGCTATCTTGATCAATCATATTCTTCTTGATCTTATCATAATTTGTTATTATTTGTTATTAGATATCATTACATATAATTTTGTATAACGAGAGATTATTATCGCCTTATTTGCATGATCAAAAACGAACCGACATTCGCTTGCGTCTTTTTAATTACACGATTACAATAAATATTTTCCATTTAATAATAGCGTTGGCCGCAAGTCGAAATTTGTAAAATTGCTATTATATAGGGCACACAGAGACACACAGAGAAGCGGAAAAAAGCAAACGAACAGGCAAACAGAAGAGGAATAACATATTTTCTCCCCCTCCTGAATTCTTCAGCATTCGTTCTCGTTCACAGCTTTCAAAAAAAAAAAAAAAAAAAAAAAAAAGAGAAAAAAAAGAAAAATAAGCGACGTTACTTAAAAAAAAGTGCAGCAAATAAAATGTAGCAGCGGAAAAACGTAGGCAGGCTTAATTAAAGAATTCAAACCCTCGACCCACCGTCCACCCCCTCGATTGCGGGCGTCAAAGAAAATAAGTTTCGCGTTTTCGTTCAAAAGTTCGACAGTTATTGGTTAACTTTGAAAAGAGAAAAAGAAAGAGAGAGAGAGAGAGAGAAAGAAAGAGAAAGATAAAGAGAGAGAGAAAGAAAGAAAGAGAGAGAGAGAGAGATAGAAAGAGAGAGATAGAGAAAGCTGACCCCTCACATGCGAACCGGCACCTGTTCTTGCGTGCGTGTGCGGCGAGCTAGCTAGTGCGTAAAGATTTCGTGTCTCTCTACGTCTTACCAGAGAACGTTCGTTCGTTAACGAGCAACGAAATCGGCCGCTGCCATCTTGCTATCTCGTAACACACTCGTGCAGCGCTTTATATATATATATTATTGGATACACATTAGATTCACATATCACGTGACAATGTAGCATTTGTGTTTTTTTTCGATCCACGATATAAATATGCCACACGTAATGTGTACACATAGTTTTCTTACCGTTATATCATTATTATTTTTTTTTTTTTTTAACGTCTAATCAAGATGAGTGTGTAAGATACGATTGGGGAGGAGTGATACAGATTTCTTTTCTTTTCTTTTCTTTTCTTTTTTTTTTTTCTCCCTTTGTTTTCAATGTAATTTTGGGTAAATCCGGATCGGTAGCACCGTCACGGCCATTCGTCGGTGAGAATAATAATAATAATAATGATGATGATGATGATGATGATAATGATGATGATAATAATAACAATAATAATAATAATAATAATAATAAAAATAATAATAATAATGCATGATCGAATCGAAAGAAACGACAATTTAATGTCGGAGAACAACAGACAAAGAAGGGTGGGCTATTCGTGTCAAGGAGGATTAAACGTGATCGGATCTCGCGTTTCCCTCGTTTCTGTAAACCTCGTGGACGATACTTCATGTGATCAAGGATCGTTGCAAAAGGGGTCAGACGAGGAATAAAGAAACGTGGGAGACGCGAGAGGGAAGCTGGTAAAGGGGGTGCTAAATATCAATAACAATGACTACGACACAACAACGATAACGGTATATGGCACGACTCAAAGCACCACCACCATCTTCTTCTTCTTCATCGATGTCGCAAGGTTTAGAGAGGCGACATTGTGTACAGGAAAAAAAAAAAAGAAGAACGAAAACAAAAATAACAATAATAAGAAAAAAAGAATAACATGGAAAATGATTTTCGTGATTTGATTGTCAAATCCCAACAAATCACTCTACGATAAACGAACG